TAGGACCGGTTCAGATAATCGTCACTGGTGTTGGCCGTGAGCGGGAATCGAATCTGGGTCTCCAGGTTCATAGCGCAGCGCGCTAACCGCTACACCACCGCTCCCCACAATACATATATACATACATACATTTTCAAACATTCAAAACGGAATGCCCAATCTTTTGGAACAAATACATTGCATTTTAGTTGTTTAAAGATGAAGTAAACAGTTTACATCTAGGTTGTTATATGGAACATGCAGATTGTGTTTTCGCAAACAGATATTTTGCGTCAGCAAGTTGATCTAGAAAGCACAGCAGGATATACACTAAAGGTTTTACTATATATTTAACAAAGCAAAGTGTCAGGTTGCTGCTCTACAGAGGTAGTGATAAACACGTGATAGTTGTGATGTACTACTGAGGCAATCCAATAGACAGCAGTTGCTTGCAGATATCAATTTTCTTACCATCATTGTTGTGATTTATGCATCCATATAGAACCTGAAATTGCTCTCCTGGCATGCGACAGGAGACATTACTCTTGTATTTGTTTTATGATAAATGAAGCTGCTAATTTCAGAAAATGACAAAATGGAAGACATAAACTTGTTTTAGCTAAGTTGCTATCTTCCACCAATGTCATCAAGAGCAATTGTTTCTATCGCAAAGTAAACACTACTTGGTTTATTTAGCGATTATTGTGGGTGGTTATTTTTGCTTAATATCACAGCAAATATGAACGTTCTAAATTTAGAAACGAAATTGAACACATTGATTTAAATTTAACACATTTTCTTGAGGCTTTGACACAAATATCAAATTGTATTTTTTCAATTTAGTGCATACACTGAAACATACTTTGTTTAAAACCAAAAATACTTGTCATCATAAGATTGGTAATTTCTTTATATATATAAAAATGTTATATTTTGTGACACGTTTTTGTGAAGTATCTGACGGTCCTTAAATCATTATACTTTTTCTAAAGAAATTGCTTGCTTAATATGTATTCAAAATAAGTATCAGAAATGTCCAGATCATCAATGGTTTCATGTAAATTTGGTACATGAAACATTTAATATCTAATAATTATAATCACATCTTGCAATGACTTTGTATTACAAATACCTGTCGGTACCGTTAAATAATTTTGTGCATATCTTAATAATAGTTGTATCTTATAGATATACGGTAGTGAAGATCAATGTAATGCAGGCCATTACTCACTTTAATGCCATGAGAAATGAACCTTTTAATGGCAGTGGACAACATAATGAAACCTACTATCAGACCACTGAGAAATAATTTGGTAGCTGCCTCTTCGGTAATAAAGTCAGCCTTGTTATATGATGATTCATATATATAATCAGAGTATGAACGGAGTTCTTCTTATCGATATCCGGTGGTGGAGCTTGACTTCTTGCCGTTGACGCAAGGTAATCTATGATCCTTATTTATACTTTATAAGAAATATATTACAATTAAGGAGTGGGCAGCATGGACGCGCAATACGCATCTACTAAATTGGCCTCCCAAAATAAAAAATAACCTTCCGCCAAAAGTACCGTAATAGACTATCTTGCATTTATAACAAAAAGTTTACACTTTTAATGCATCGCTTGTTGAATTCAAATGCAATGCTGTTGCTTCTGCCGAACATTGCACTTAATTGTAATATAACCATTACAGCATGTACCGTTTTTAACAATTTCACATTTTATTTAAGCTGAGAATGGGCAATATGATTTAAAAAATGCACCTATCAAGTATTTTCGTTTTGGTTACGTTTTTGAATCAATCCATATTGCCTGTTATGACTTATGGATTAGACATTTTTAAAAGAGCAATGAAAATTGAACAAGAAAACTGAAAGATCCAAAAACGAAAAGCATGGAGGGATGCATGCTTGGAAATACATTGAGATACAGAAAGATAAACACACAAATCAATGCACTTACGCAGGTTGAAAATGTAATTCGAATTGTTAATAAAGGTAAATGGCAGAGGTGGGACAAAGTCATTGTTATGCAAGTCCAAGTCGAGTCTGAAGTCATCAAATTCATGACTCGAGTCTGACTCGAGTCCAAGTCACATGACTCGAGTCCACACCTCAGGTAAATGGGCCTGGGCAGGACACATCACTTGACGGGATGCGTGATGGTTACAAATAATCACGGAGCGGGAGCCAAGAATATAATGCGTCTAACAGGATGGCCACTGCATAGATGGGGCGATGAAATTAGCATGCGAGCAGGTGCTGAATGTGTTGCCCCATCGCAGCATCGTGAGGGATACCAACGATTTAGGAAGGTCTTCATCCAGGAGTGGATTGATCATGGCTGATGATGACCTAAGTATGAAATGACTTGTGGCCAAAACTGCATTGACTAGCACAGTAGTTTCTCAGTGGCCACAAACAATCATTTAGGACTGTAAAATGCATACAACTTCAGATCAATAAAGTTCTCACATGGATGATGGCATTAAGTTTACGTGAAAATATTTGCTCGTGCCTGACTAAATAAACCCATGGAGCGTTGCATTAATATGTTTTGCTAATATGCAGGCTCGGCATGACTCATGACGTTTCACTCCACAAACTTAATTTGGAGCTTTCGTGACTGCAGGAATTATTCTTTGGTTCTTTCGGTAAAGTCACATATAAAGATAAAATAATAAATTAAATTAAATACTAGCATACGACGTTTCGATTGCAACACAAGCAATCTTCATCAGGTATAAATTAAATAGAAACACAAATCTAGTATACTTAAATTTCACTCCACGGTCTGGGAGCTTCTTTGGGAACTCTGACGATCATGCCGAACAACACACGGCATGACCAGAAAACACACCAGAGAGCTTTAATACGACCTTCTCAATCTCTCTTTTCTTCCTTTGCCAGATCGATTCCACTTGGCCCACACCGGGAATGTCGCACACCTCCTGTCTGTCGGCAATTTCCTATTCCTCTCTCCCTGGTGGTCTTATCCCAAACGTTCCTGTCATCCATGTTCCATATCCCTCCTTTACTTTTCACAACACTGCCAGCCTCCCTGCTTTGCTCTAAGCTTCTGCAACCTTTCCCCCAGCTAACTGATGATTAGCCTATCACAGACCTTCATCCAGCAGTGGATTGACAAAAGGGGTATAACATATTACTGTCATTATGTTCAGAATCATCAAAATAATCACAATTTATAATGCACACATATTGAGCGAATTATATGCAATGTTCAATCGATAACTCAGAGGCACCGAGCCAGATATAAATGTCCCTTTTAAGCTAAGCTGCACAGGTAAGAGCCTGAACTCGTAAGAGCCTGGACAGGTGGAGCCTGAACGAGTGAAAACCTAAATACTGTAGATGAGAGGCTGGACAGGTGACAGCCTGGATGGGTGAAAGCCTGGACACGTGAGCGCCTGGATGGGTGAGACCCTGGATAGGTGCAGCCTGAAGGGGTGAGAACCTGGACAGGTGTAACCTAAATGGTTTGACAGCCTGAACGAGTGAGAGATTGAATGGGTGAGAGACTGGATGGGTGAGAGCCTGGCGGATGTGACATTGAATGAGTGAGAGACTGGACGAGTGAGAGCCTGGACGAGTGAGAGATTGAATGGGTGAGAGACTGGATGGTTTGAGAGCCTGGCGGATGAGACATTGAATGAGTGAGAGACTGGACGAGTGAGAGCCTGGTCGAGTGAGAGATTGAATAGGTGAAAGAATGGACGGGTGAGAGATTGAATGGGTGAGAGACTGGATGGGTGAGTGCTTGGACAGGTGAGAGATTGAATGGGCGAAAGCTTGGACAGTTGAGAGATTGAATGGGTGAGAGACTGGATGGGTGAGTGCTTGGACGGGCTAGAGATTGAATGGGTGAGAGATTGAATGGTTGAGAAACTGGACGGGTGAGAGCCTGAATGGGTTGAGAGCCTGGACGAGTGAGAGATTGAATGGGTGTGAGACTGAATGGGTGAGAGTCTAGACGGGTGAGAGCTTTGAGCTGCTGCTTGAAGGTGGATGATGGCGCTTGGATGCTGCTGCGAATGTGCAGCAGCAGGAGAGAGTTCCAAACAGCTGCCGGTGTAGCTGCGGAAAAAACACCGCTTAGCCAGGGCTGTCCTGGTTGTGGGTACCATGGGCAGGTTGTTAGATGTACTTCGTAGGAGGCGGCGGTTAGATATGGTCATTAAAGTGAGAAGGATGGAGAGGTATGGTGGTAGACCTTTAAAACATCTCGATGGCACAGGATAGCGGTGTTGTACGGCATCCTTGCTTTGAAGACACATGGCCTCGTGTGATGCTTAGGACAGCGATTGACAGGTTGTTTTGAAGCCACTGTAGTTTGTTAAGCTCATGTTTGTTTATGGAGATGGGTTCAGGGGGGGCTGGTGGTGGCTGTGTGTCTAGTGTCACTTCCAGTTACGTTTAATGCCCGTCGTCTCATTTGGGTGGCTAACGCTAAGTGATAACCGCTTGGCTCAGCGGTAGGGTGAGCAGCTCGCGACCCTGTTTGGGCTTTGACTTAGCCCAATCATTCCTCTGAGGTCGATACAAAAACTGAGTACTTCTTTGTGGGGAGGTTAACAGTGGTTGTCCCATGGATAAACTTGCCTCTGCCATAGCAACGTTAGAATATCCACAACTGGCTTAGGCCTGTATATAGGACAGGTAAAGGTGCATCCTCACAATTACTTCCTCCAGCCACCGCTGGAGGCAAGGCCTCAAATAGATGGCGCTCTCGCAAAATTCCGGCTTGATGGCATTTGACCTCCTCTTCCACAACTGGGCCAGGCATATTGGAAGTGATGGGATGAAGTGACCATACTAGTTGACAAGTAAAAAAAACCCAACAACTTGTTGACGGTTCTAGGTAAGATAAAACAACCCCCCCCCCTCCCAAAAAAAATCAACGCTCATCGCATCAGCAGGAAATCACTTTGGCACGACGATGTCCTCGACGCGTGACTGACGCCTTCCTGCGCCTCGACCCCCGTGTGTGTGTGCGCGGTGCAGACGCAACGGTGCTGAGCTACGACGGCTCCATGTTCATGAAGGTGGTGATGCCGACGGTGATGCACACGGAGGCCGAGGACGTGTCCCTGCGCTTCATGTCGCTGCGCGCGTTCGGCCTGCTGCTGGCCACGACGTCGCGAGACTCTGCCGACACGATGCGCCTGGAGCTCGACGCCGGGCGCGTCAAACTCACCGTCAACCTCGGTAACCCCAGAGGGCTTTGGTAATCGTCGGCGGTGGGAGACACCGTGCGTGCGTGTCCTCCCACCTGTGTTGTTTGGCTGCCGCTTTTCCCTCCCTCTCAGACCTCCTCTTTGCTAGGTTATTTGTGCGCGCGCGCGTGTGTGCATAATCGTCTATATTTCGCGGTAATTGTAACAAATTATACGTTGATATGACCTCGTGGACAAAAAGGACATTTGTTTTACGTGTTGCCCTTATAATCTATGACTCTTCACAGGTGGCGCGTTGCTGTTAATGTGATTTTATTCGCGTTTGCTTTCTCTCCATCTCGAGTCTCACGTTAATTCGGAGTTCATGCATTAGATGTACCTGCTTTTAATTTCACGCGAAGTACTTTTTGTTTCCCGTAACGACCATTTCTCACAAACGTGTTCTATTCCTTCCCCCACGAGACACAATTTCTGCCGGGTCATTCTTTTTCATTTGTTCAACCTCTTTTGTTTCTTATCGATCAATGGATTGCTTCAGCGGACAGCCGTGACCTTTTCTTACTCGGAAAGATAATGTGGCACGGCCGTCGTCCTAGATTGCGGCATCTACATTTCCTGCCGCACGGCAGTCTGCAGAAGCATAACCATTGCGTCAAAATATCCGTGCCCCAGTAACGACCCATTGTTTTTCCATTAAAGTTGCGCGTGTTGGGTCGCCGCTATCTAACGGTCTCGGTATAGACGGGTGTGAAGTTACTCCCCTTAATTTCGTTTCTGAAATATATATACGGCGTTTCACGTGTTTCTTTAAAAGTACTCTTACTGCATGCGAACTCTACGGATGCCACCATTCCCAGCTCTGTCTCCCCTGATAAAATATATCCCTTCAAAGGCCAAAGCCTGCGACCCGAGAGCAAGCAGACATGGGGCGATAAGCGTGGAAATGCCTGCAGTGAATTTCCCAGAGCATGGTCAGTCTGTACAGACAGACAACAAACCTGACAAGATCAGTTGTATGCCTACTCCGTCTTCTGATTACCATCCCAGGTCCAAAGTGTCCACTTTAAAGGTGTCCCCAAGCACGGTTTCTGCACCGTTAGGCAGGAAAAAGACAAGCAAACAAAAATTGAATAGGCATCACAGAAAGCGTAAACATACATTGCACATTTATGTACAAATTCTACCATATCCGTACACCGCTAAGTCAACGATGTGGACTACAATGATGTACATATCACTTGACACCCTGAAACACCCTTTGCAAACGAGATGTTCCATCTCCAGGGATTGTTCAGGCAAATTATTGTAATTCATACATTTAAATAAAAGTAAGGGATCAGCAGATAGGCACATATATATATATGAGGTATATAGCAGGGGTGGCCAAAACCACGGCTCATGCCCGGACAGTTCCAGCAGTTGCTGCTCGATGGAGACACGGATAATATAATTGGTAACTTTGCGATGGCACTTCGTTTAATCTGCATGAATTGGAGAAGCGCTGAGACATTCACCGTTGACGGTGGATCAATGCATGAGTACTCCTGGGACGCACCGACAGATTTCATAAACTAAAAACAACTTGGGCAAGCCGACCGACCCGAGCCAATCAACATTATTATTCTATCGCTACGCGCACTTAACAAACAAACACAATTATATTAAACAACGAGGAGTGCATGTATCAAGTCATACGTGTCCTGTGGCTCTTGGCAATATGAAACAAGCATGTTTTACGCGGCTAAGTACGGTCAGGGTGATGTTTGGCCACCCCCGAGTTTACAGAAATGCTCGAGTTCAAGTGCGGTTGTACAATATTGCTTTGCACACGTGTTCTAGACGTGGATAATTACAGCGTAACTAACAGTTTTTCACGGCTTCTCGTAGCATTCAAAAGTTGGAAGTTACGTGAAATACATTGATACTTGTGGTGGGGTAGTAGATGTGAAAGTTTAGCACACACACGAAAGAAATCCGAAATGAAAGTGAACAGTTACTTTAACTTGACGGGTATTATAAACAACATTGCGACATAAATTGGAGCTGTACGAAGGAATAAAAATTTCGCTTCTTTTCTTCACCGTGAACTTTTTGAAAAAAAAAAACGAAAACCACTTTATAGCCTTCACCGAGAACAGTGAGACAGCCGCAAAGTTGCAATGGAAGCGGCGTTCACTGCAGGCTCAACCCAGGAAGGTTGCCCCATGGCTATTTGCACCCACTTTTCTGTTGCGGTTGACGACACATGTCAAACTTTGTCACGTGATGCCAAGCCGAGGTTGGTACTTGCATCTCAAGGGCATCTTGTGCAATAACAAACCAGATATGTGTGCGCCTGTGTCTTTGTGTTGTGCGAACGACAGACAAGACAGCTTATGTGTGTGTGAGTGCGTGTGTTTGTGTGTGCTTTGTGTTGTATATGTATATAAAAAGTGGCATATGTTTATAAATGTAATAGTTACATTTTCTATATATCTACAAAGACACTGCAATGTGTTACATGCTAATGATAGATGATTAATTTTACAGTATTTACGACTGTAAATATTGTTACTTTACCTCAATGAAAAAAAAAAACGTGCCTTGTATTTTTGTAATTTCCACACATCATGCCTTTGAGATGACGAGAGGTTAAAAACAAATGAGGACGATTGTAAATTTCACTGAAACCATGGCAGCACAACTCGACACAAAGGTGCCACTCTCTCAGACCATCGCAGAACATGGCTGGGGAAGGGGGTCAATTCGCCCGTGAGATCCTAGTTCTGGATGTAGTGAGAGCGAGAGAGACTAAAGTAGTGGCACTTTGTGTGAGTTGCGCTGTCATTCGAGTGCTCTGTCTCCTCCTAACCTGGCTGTGGCATTACGTGACGCGCTTTTGCCGGTGGCCATTTTATACTAAGCCGGGTAATAAAGGGCTACTTCTTACCCCTTCAGCAACCTGGCCTTAATTTGTTTAATAGCGAGCAAGAGTAATTGCTCTGCTGTAGTTTGGTCAAAATTCTCAATCGATTACACAGCATTAAATTCAGCCAAGCATTTTCACACGAGACAATTGCCGGCCAGATAATTAAAGGTCCCAGGAATTGATTGCCCGTGGTGTAATTAAAATGGTCACCCCTTGCGTGTGTCTGTCCCCGGAAGGGTGGCACTGATATTGAATGGATGTCTGCAGCTGTTTACCTTGAAGGATGTAAATTCACATTTCACATTCTCTCCCCCCTATCTAGACTGTATCAGGATAAAGTGTAACACCAGTAAGTTTCAATTCCACATTTCACTTTTGTTCTATACGCACCGAATATTGCATTGTTGAACGCGTTGAGATATACGGGCATTGTAGTTGTCACATTTCGAGTGACGTAGGCAACATTTTGGAAGTACATAAATGATAACAATAGTATCACATTTGTGAAGTTTTGTTTCGATGTTTGTTGTGAACACGCATTTAGAAAAAAAATGTTGCTTACTTCGCTATAGCAGGTGACAATTGTGGTGCAGTTATAGCTCTTCAAATGGGAAACAGCCGTGTGTATAAGGTGAGAGTGAACGAAGGACACGATGTGTCGCATGTTTTTGTCGTTGTTACAACCCCAACGGACGAATTAATCTAACACTATCTTCTTTAAAAATGTTTATTGCTTCATATAACAGCATAAATGTTTAATTAACATTGGTGTTAATCATAGCTTTTTTTTACGTGTATTAATAAATAGGCAATAATTAATGGTTGAGTACAACTTTTATAATACTGCAGCTTTCCAAACAACTAACAGCAGACATTTTGTGGGTTTAAACAGCCATTTGATGGCTGTTTGTAAAGTCCTAAGTGACTTCATCAGTCATTATGGTGTTGTTGTGCACGGTGGCTGTAGCAGTACGGAATGTTAAGAATCGTTCATCCAAAACAACTTTTTTCTATCCGAAATTATGTTTCTGGGCCTGATTTGTTTTCTTCCAAACACATCTATAGTATGGAGACTAGGAGAGACAGGGGGTATACACTTGCAGCCGCAAATGAAGAGACAGAGACACAGAGAGACAGACACACACACAGAGAGAGAGACAGACACAAAGTAAAAGATCCCCCTCATAGCCTTCACAGACTTTTGGGGAAAGTGCTGTAAGCGAGCACCTATGAAGGCCGACATGGCACACGAGAGGGTTGGTGGCCGGCACAATGCCCGGCCACCTTTGTCTCCCTTGTGGCGATGTTTACACACGACACCAGGCACTGATTTGAGGATGAGTCAACCTAGGATTAATCATTACGGGTTCAGATAATCGTTACCTCTGTTGACTGTGAGCAGGGATCGAACCTGTGTTGCCAGGTTAATAGCGCAGCATGCTAAACACACAGAGAAAGACACCTTCATTTGACCACTTCTACATTCAATGGCATACGCTACCTGAATAATTTAACCTGCATGTAACTTCTGGATTTAAACCATTCCGAAAAAATGCATTTTATTTACCCCGAATGAATCATTTTTCTAACAGCTTTGGCAGAAGGATATTGGAGCATAGTCGAAGCTGATAATAATCCACTACATGTTTAATCTTATTTCTAAACACAACATGTAAATTGATAGTAAAAGAACACCTGCCTGTTTGTATTGTAATTATCACATCCATTGTAGCTTCAACAATCAGAGTGTACTAATGAATACAGCTGACTTTTCGCACCTAGAATGTGTTAGAATTAACACAAAAATTTGGCAGGTAATTTCAGATGAAATCCCACAAGAACACTGCAATCTTGAGGTGTAATTGTTATAACACAGCAGGACTTGTGGCTTAAATATATTTATTTGACCGCTATTTTCTAGGAAAATAGGCTGGAATTATACAATATGTTTTCTCAGTCAATTACAAATATTTCTCACAAGACATTATACAGATTACATATTTAATGTTACTCATATATATGTTAGCTGATACTCTACAAAAGCAATTAGAATGCATTTCACATTAATAAAATAAATATCGAAATAACATTTAAATAGTTCAAATACCAAAAAAGCAATTGGTTATTGTAAACAAAAAAGTTTTTCTCTATAAAAAAAATATCACAGTGTACTCTGATAAAATAAGTAAGTTAACAACTAAAATATAACTTCATAAATGAATATTGCATGTCAGCAGTAGACTGCTTCATGGTGTTATTATATAAAAAGAGGCATCCCAATGATTTGCATCAAAATCTGAAACTAAGCAAGCCAGCAAACAGCGATAATTTAAACTGGATTATAGCACTCTCATTGTCCCCTGAATATTGACTACTTAGTTTTATGAGATATAATGCGATTCAGATTCCTTGTGGGAGATTGTGTGCCATGGTCCAACAAGAACTGCATTGCCAAAGGAAAACTAATGAAGGCAACACACTTCTTAACTGACATTCTGACAGGCCTGAGGACACGCGCTGCCAATGATCTCCACCCTGCATGCCTGAGATAAACGAATACTGATCGATTTAAATCCTGCAGGGTACGGGTTGAGCAGGCATAGATTTGTTGCATGAACAGGTATCTTTGTTAGGGACCAAGATGCTTTGTACCATAACACTGGCCATTTTTTTTACATTTTAATGAATAGCTTCTGACGTCCTTCGAGATGTGCTGCAGGGAAGCGAGTATCTGTCATGTGTGACATAAATTGTCCCTTTATATAATGTCTTAAACTCCAATGGATTTGCTTTATTCATGTCAAGCACTGCATACACACATGATGATTATAAACAATATAAAAATTAGATTTCAAGATGGGGTTTTAAAATCGTTTTTTCTTTTACTTGCACGCAATAATCACGCCCTTATTTTTGCGGTAGTAAATGAGCATAAGCGTACAATTCTCCAAATGCTTAAATACATATATAACAACTTTGTTTTTTTTTATCAAAAAGAGCCTGCCCAATTATGATTTAACTTTGACCCTCTATTTTTAGTTTTTAGCCAGGGTAGTGCTGTGATTACAACGTTCGAATAGCAATTGGGAAGGTTTGCGAGTTCAGGTCTTGGTTTGGGGTCAACCTTAAATTTACTTAATTACATTAAATTTACACGAAGTTTTCTATGCACATATAAGATGATGTCGATTTCTTAAAAAAAAAACGTGTTAAACGACTGCTGAGCTGTAAACTTGTTCACATGATCAATAACTGGCCAACTAACAATTACAAATGTAAACACGTGTTTTACTGTCACTGTAAGTAAAGGAAAATATATCTCTACCCTCTTATTTTTCTCTATCCATGAAAGGATTGGAGATAAATGGATGTGCCATGCCATATGTACATGCATTGTAAGGCAAGCAGCCAGTGATATGCTAGTAGCCGATCAAAATTAATACATCGAGTGCATAATCGAGAGGTAGCAGGTGATGAGATTCATAATTCAACACAGGAAATCAGCCTCTAATTTTATTTTGGACTTTTAGGCTCAATTTATTATATTCAGGTCGGGTTTTTTAAAAATGAAAATGTATTTAATTGCAATAGCTTGTATTATGCATGCGCTACAATTAATACATTTCATTATTTCATTATAAAAAAATATGAATCACTGAATCTATGTTTGTACGTAAATTCATATAGGTAAACACAATTTTTTCATGTAAATGTATTTTTTTATTAAGGAAAAGTGATGTAACATATCAAACATGATGTCCCGTGGTGGGAAAAAGATGCGATGCTGTAAAAGTAACATCACTTTTCAGATTACTCTGAATCATCTGACATTTCATATCTAAGGCTTGATTTTTTTATTAATCCGAAAATTTGGAACACATCTCTCGTATATAGACTTTGTCGAGGCAAGGGATGTGCAATTGTGGCCCCCTGGGAATGTCTGTGCAAGCCTGTGGCCATCTCAACACTAATTGTGCCCCTGTGGAGAATGGGACATCAAGACTCCACATAGAAATAGAGACACACACAGGGAGACAGAGACATGGACATAACCACAGATACTGAGACACAGTAAGACATAGACAGTTTACCATTTATAAGGATAGCTGCAGTATACATAAACAAATTGTGAAGTCTCCGATACAAATGTTTAATGTGAAGCTAATATCAGAAATGTGTATCAACTGACACAAATATAATGGCAATTCTTTGGGTCTTTGGGTAAGGTCCATCTACGTGACTTAACCGAAAGACCCAAATAATATGAATTCCTGCAGTCACGACAGCTTTAAGTCAAGATTTAAATATAATGTACATTTATGGGACTCCATTTTGTGAGCTTCCAATAAATCTTTTTTTTCTGCGACACAGCGTGGTTCGCTTCCCCTTTGTATTCAAGCGAGGGCATGAGTCTTACTCAACGCCGTTTTCAATATGCTGCGAGATCCTTTGTTGCCGAAAGCGATTAGGTGACGTCAAACAAGTCTTATTCTCATTTATTCGGCGTTGTTAATTTGCGCTCGGGGCCGTTATTGCCAGAGAAGCTGTCGTCATTGACATTTGGGTCAATCGGCTTTCCAGTGAACGTGACGCGTCCGCCACCTTGTGGTCATCCTCGGCTGCTACAACTTGTAAATTATTCTCTTGGAATTATGATTTATTTACTCAACATTTAATTTGCATCAAAGTAACATCCACATAGTACGTGGTTTAATATTTACTGAGTATGGTATACGGTACTGTATTCGGATTTTACACCTGACACTGATATTTGAGATATCCCGGCCTTATTGGATTGCTAACGGCATTTCAGAAAAATAGAAACAGTGGAAACTTCTGAGCTTTCATTATAATTTGGATGGGTATTAGTGTGACAAAGGTGAAGGGTTTTAAAACCAATGCAAAATCCGTGGAGCAGTTATCGTATCTGGAGTAGCATTCGCCCTCAATCAGAGGAATTTACGTGTTTGGTAAATTCTACCACAAAAAATAACAACAGCTAGAGCCGTTAATGTATGATAGTCAATTTGGTCGTTCAGTAAATAGAACTAAATATAAAAAAAACCTACTCCTGGCTGTGTAAAATAAACACATTAATATTTAGAAGCATTAATACTAGGTGGTTGGATGTAATGAATATTTTAATTGAATTAATCTAGGAAAAAAACTATATAATTCGTATTGAATTGCAGTTTAACACCAAAATAGAGATTATTTAACTTGTACAAAAAATAAAGATACAATTTTTCCCATGTACTAAACCAGCAGAACTAGGAAAAGGTTAAGTTATTCGAAATATTAAAGTATTTTAGTATTAATAACAAAACCAATTATACATAATTTATCTACATTACAAATACTCATTACCATAACAATAAAAAAATCAGTTTCTTTCTGAAATACAGAATAAATTGTGCTTGCAATATATTATTTAGAAAGGACTCCTGTAATTATATGGTAGTTTTAATGATTAAAAATGCTTTACTCTAAAAAGACTGAAAGGTAAATGCTTTAAATTAAAGCCTTTTTTAATTTCACTATCTTGATACTAGCAAAAGGGTCCCATTGCCATACAGTACTTTGATAATACAATTAATTCTTAACTTGTTTTATATATACGAATTGTACTGTTAAAGCCTAGTTAAATACCCCTGCTAGTATGTGCTTGTTTCTTGGAAGGTTTGTTGGATAATATACCATGAAACATTACCATTAACCTTCTGAAATCAATTGTGCCATATTTTATTAAACCACATGAAAGCCCATTTCAACGGTTTGACTTTTTTTATTTTGCAAGAAAAGGCACAGTAAGTAATTCATTTCAGCTTGAGTGGATTTTGTAGAGACTGACCTAGTGCAGTGACCCGTTGAAGATGTCTGAAATTTTGTCCTTGGATACTGGAAATGAATTTGATGGAAGAAACGTGATAGTGCACCAGTTCTCAAGCTACAACTCACCTGCAAATGTATTTCATCATCATAAAATAACAGAACAAAATATATACCATGGGTCAGGAATTTTTTTAAATATTATACTTGGAAATAGATATGGTTTATATTAAAGTTATAATATTTTATGACAATAACCGAGCTAATTCTGCTCTTAAAATGATAACATTTGTCGAATCATAATAATGTTCAAACATATGCATAGAGTATATTGATTTTTCAAAAAGGTGAAAGAATTTACGAACGAAATATATACATAGAGGCCAAGGTGCCATATGTTCATAAATTATTGTGAGGATTGTGTTTTTTTTATTGGCCGAAGAGGAACGATTAGATTTTTTATTGTCCTTTATTTTGGCATCTGTCAACCATTTGGTCTAAAACCTCACAGTAATATTTCCTACACGAATCATATACCAGCTTGACAGTATGGACTAAATAGCAAACATTCTGCGGCAATGTCAGCATTATTACATTTGCATTGTCACTGGAAGAAAAACTGTTTCATGAACTATCTCAAGCATATTTTTCCTTAAATAAATAAAATACTTTGTAAGCAGTACTCTTATGTTGTTGTGCTCTAAAGCAGTTTTTTTCTTCAGAGAAGTACATTTGTATTTTTTTATGAGAAGGTTTACCTTCACATATCAAAGATGTAGTATTCGCTTTGAGGTTGAACAACATGCTGCCTGAGATGCAAACTCTCCCGTGCATTCTAAACAGCCCGAACGCTTACAATAATAACAGAAAGGTCAAGAAAGCCATTTAAACATGAAGAAGTGGAAGAGTAGAAATGCAGTCTTCTTTTGCAATGAATTTTGCCCTAAATGTTACTCCATTCGAACCAGTGGTGACTCAATGTAATGAAATTAAACACGGTGGAAACTTATTTTACCATGCATTAAATGGCCTTATACCACCAACTCACAAATCATGTCCTCCAGCCAAAATTTAAATTATGTTTTTTTATTTACATCCTAATTATAGTGATGTAATCTAACATAAATTGTTTTGCCATTTTCTTTGAAGTTGTTACCCTATTTTAAACGTCGAATTTAAGATGGTTGTGGAATTACGACCTAATGCATAGCTGTGCTTGCCATAATACTTAAGCTTGTCATGATACAAAAATAAACATATTTTTAAACATAAGCAAAAAAGATACAACTCCATACTGTATTTAAGGAGCAGGTCTGTGTTTAATTGTTGGTAGCCTCAAAGAGACATTCATGTGCATAGAGTATAAATCATTTTTAACAAGTGTGCAAGCCATATCATTGTTGGTCGTATTTTTTTTTATAATTAAGCAACAAATTACGCGATATAAATAATTAAGCATTATACATATCTAAGGCCAAAAGCAGAATACATTTCAAAAGGGTAGAAAATGTAAATGATACAGTATCTCTTGTGCAGATTGTCAGGGTGGTTTGTAAGAAGGTTAGTTCGTGAGATATTCATATTTTGTCGTACTCATGTTTTTTTTACCAAGTTTAATGCATTTACAAAAATATCCAAATTATATATTGGATAAACTAATTTATAGGCCAGCCAAAAATGTTGAGAAGTCTTCCTCGAGCTGTCAAATATCCAAGTGATTTCCGGCTCAAATGAGCATCTCCCACTTACAGCTCTGAAACAGTGGCAGGAATTCCACATTCCTATGGCGGGGACGAGCCTATCAAGACTACATCCCCACGAAGTGGTACCTATTTTATCGACCCTGGAGAGATTAGGCTGCGTTAACCCCTGACCAGGATTGAAACTTGCAACATTCCGATTGTGAGCCTCTCGCTCTATTGCTGAGCCACCGAGCCAGCAGTGAATTGACAAAAGGGCTGTTAAATTGAAAGACGAATTCTCGACTTCAATTTATATTGAGTTCTACATTTATTTCAAATGGTCGGGGCAAATGACCATGCACTGATAATTATGAACGACCAAGTTATTTTCAATGTCTAACCAATCCACTAGATGGCACTCTTTACAGATGATGACGAATTACAGTAAGTGAAATTACAAATATTTTTGTCCTTGAAGATGTTTTTTTCTGTTTACTGCAGTGACGTGTCAAAAATAAATATTAATCTGAAGCTTACTGGGATGTCAGGATGTTGAATGTCTAATATTCCTACAGTTACCAATTCATACATTTGTTAAAATAAAAGATTGCTGGCTTAAAACAACTCTTGAATATTTATAGTCTAACTTACTAGAATACAGAGTAGTACAAATTAATAGATTACTTTCCAGCTCTGTCAGAATATAAGCCACTAAAAGCCACTTGTGACATTTCACAAATCAGACATGCCGATGAATATACGGTATTTCATCCCATGCACATTTGCTAATTCAGTATAGGCATTGTCATATTAAATGATTATTGATAAAATAAAATCTCCAAGGAGTGAATAGTTTCGAGCACGTTGCAATTGCACAATAATTCAACATGATCAGCATAATGTTTGTTATGACATTGTGTTTTTTTACGGCCATCGTTATTACGATACAGTACTAATTGTTTAAGATGCGCTTCTACATTTGTATCAATAAAGACGTGCAGTACATTGGTAAGATTATTATCAGTAAAATTAAACAAAGCTACAGTTAGAAAAATAAATTGGCAGGTAACATTGTATTCCAAAAACAATATGCCATCTTTTTTATTGAGTGGTGTTTCTTTCTAGCAGTTTAATAAACATTAGCATGCACACGTTATGGGCCCAATTCCTGTGTTGGTGAAAAGTGCATTTATTGCCAATACAGTGTTTGGTGGAAAACACATCCATCATAGCTATGTTTTTATAGATGTCTTTTTTTTCTCTGGAAACTGGTGGAAAAAGTCGTTTCATCCAGCACATGCATTCGTTACATGTAACTTATACACGAATCATATGTCTACAAGTGTGTTGTATTCCACACACATACGCAATAACAAGAACATACATTTTGTGTTCCAGAAATGATAGGTGGAATGTGAGAGTCAGTGGCTAACGCTGACTAGAATTATTGTTCCATAGGCAAGGGACCGGAGACCCTCTACGTTGGCAAGAACCTCAACGATAATGAGTGGCACACAGTGCATGTCACTCGCCGTGGGAAGAGCCTCAAACTAATTGTGGATGGGATCGCGACGGAAGGTAAGCTGTCATTTGGTTTATTATTTTAAAACAAGTTTAATTGCTATGGAAAAATTTACATTTTGTGAACCGTTTTTATTGGCGACATTTGCATTCTATGCTTGCTAATGGCAGAACTATGTCCAGGAGCTGAATGCCAATGTCGACGTCTGCTAGCCACGAATAAGCGCAGACTACTAAATGGTCCTTAGTTTGGGCTGCGTGATCACAGTTGCACAACTGTGGCTTGCCTTTAGTTGTCCTTTCATGAAGTGGATGTGCACATTGGTCTCTAGATGTTCTGATGCAATTGATGATTTACGAATGTCTTTGAGGAGTGTCAAAGTCAGGAGGTGCAATGTTTGGATCTCAAACGAGGTTTTATTTTCTGGACATGTACATTGTTTCACTTTGTTCGCCAGCGTTCTTCCTGATCTGGGCGAGATTATATGATAACAAGTGAGTTCCCAGAAGGGGGATCGGGTTTTGAGTGAGCAGGGATGTACATTGTTGATGGGCAGGTTGTCCTTGGTAAGAAAACGTATAATCTCCCTTACAATTTGAATCTCTGTGTAGATATTTGGTGATTGATTGTTCGCCAGAACAGAGCCTGGGGACTGGTGTTGGTTTCAGTGTTCTGGTTATGATGTGCATTGCGTTCATTGTGCATCTAGCAGTGTTGTATACGAGCTCTCGGATCAGGCTGGAGCACAGTGACTGTGCCACTGAGTAGATTAGTGAGAGAGTGGCAATTTTCAGCACATCAGCTGAGGTGCCCCCAGGTCATTCCTGAAAAGATTCTGTAGCAGGGTGAATCTTGATTTGATATTTTCACAGATCTGTTGTATGTGAGGTTTGAAGGCCAGGCTTCTATCCTTGAAAACCCCGAGATATATTGAAGTGGGGTCATAATGCACTGGGCTACCACAAGTAACCATTAAGGGTAGCATCTGCTGCATGACTGTTCAAGTGGAAAGCATTTGTGGTGGTTTTGGAAGAATTTGGTCGCAGGCTCCAGTTACAGATATATGGTTCCGATGAAGTTATGTCAGCTGTGATTATGTTCTCGAGGTTTGTGCCCTGTGCAGAAGGGACTATGGCATCTGCATTTCTGAACATATGAGACTAGCCTTTTGCCCGTCCAAGGACGGCTGTATTGCAGTGAATCTGAAACTTGCGAGTGAAAAGCAGACCGCGACGTGATATTCACTGCATCAATTCGTGTGCAGTTTGTAAGGGCGCGGTGACACAGACCTATTTCATTTAAAGGTTATAATCCCTTGTTCATCATGATGTCCTTTTTACTTTGATGTCTCAATAGCGTTACGGAGATCGCGTGACGTGAGGGTTCTGTCTTTGTAGTGAGGGTTGTGAGTTGACGCCGAGGAGGGGGGAGCAGGCGTCACATGCTCATGATTATTAATGAGGGGGGGGTCCATTTGGAGGATGTCACCTGCTCATGAATATTCATGAGTTGGGGCTGGTCGATATGGAGTGACGTCACGAGCCTGAATGACAGACATTCCTGGGTGATTAGAGTAGGTATGATGTACATGGCAGGTCACTTATCTACTGTTCGCAATTCTCTGGGGCTGTGTTTAGCAGCGAAAGTATATTTGCTGATCATCGTGTCGATTCAGTGCACAGTACAGTTAGAATAGCATCTAATGATTTTGGTCAACAGCTGGCCATGACATCAAATTGTTATAGGCAGAGAGGTCAATCAGTGCTCCATTTTTATATTAATAATAATGAGTATAAAAGTCATATGATTCATGTTTCATAACTATAATTTCACTAAATACTTGGGTTTATGTAGCTGTAACCCACGAAGTTATTGGTGGAAAAAACAGGACTGCGTCCCTTTATCTGCAAAGGTCAAATGATCGGGGATCACACGCGGCTGGAGTTCCACAACATCGAGACGGGCATCATGACAGAGCGGCGCTACACCTCCGTGGTGCCCTCCAACTTCATCGGCCACCTGCAGAACGTGAACTTTAACCGCATGGGATACATCGACCAATGCAAGAATGGCGACATCGACTACTGCGAGCTGAATGCTCGCTTTGGCATGCGAAACATCATTGCTGACCCCATCACTTTCAAGACCAAAGTCAGCTTCCTCACACTGCCCACTCTGCAAGCCTACACCACCATGCACCTCTTCTTCCAGTTCAAGACCACGTCGCCCGAGGGCCTCATACTCTTCAACAGCGGAGACGGCAGTGACTTCATCGCGGTGGAGCTCGTGAAAGGGTACGTCTCTACTGTTGTCTTCAATAGCGTGGGGTTTTTCTTTTGCCAGGCTACTTGGCAATTTGAACCTTTCGTGCCTGTGCTAAGCAACGCACAAGCTATGAATATATAAATCACTGTTTAGATAACTATGAACAAATTTGCTCATGTATATCTATGGACAGTTCCTCAAATTATGAAACTCGCCATCAATATTTGACAATTATTTTTATAAAACACATGAGTGGAATTTTTCAAGTTAATTATCTAAGGTTTTTTTTAAGTACATATATAGCTGATGGAATAATTCAATGGTGTGGCACAGACACAAAACTAAATTCACCATCGTCACACTGAATTACAGCCCTAATTGGTTGATTTCCCACGCCCAAATAAAGAAGCCACTTAATGATTATGGTAATGAATATCCACATCTGTAAAATGTCTGAAATGTATGTGCGAAATTGTGCAACTGCCCATATATAATATGCACGCTCAGGGGTTTTAAACTATTGTGAGAACAGGATGTAGCAGTATAAAAAAAACCCTCCTCCATATAAGTTTGATATTACAGTGCATTGATATTACAACTTCCGACATTAAAAATGTTCTCAAAATGTTTCTGAGCAGAACATGCGCAAAATCGCTGCATTATATTTTATTTACAACAATTGCCGTATAACCTTGATATTTATGAGCGCTGCACATGTTTGATTATTTTTCAGGCACATCCACTACGTGTTCGATTTGGGGAATGGGCAGAACCTCATCAAGGACAGCTCGAAGAAAGTGCTCAACGACAACCAGTGGCACAACGTGATCATCGCCAGAGAGCTCAACAATGTGCACACCTTGAAGGTGGACTCCAAGTCGAGCACCCTGAACGTGAATGGAGCCAAGAATCTGGACCTTAAAGGTAAATACAGTCGAGTGGCTCCTCTCTGTGCCCCTTATTACCTGTGACTCCTATTACCTGCGGAACCTATAAGGTCCGCTAATGTATGTATGTATGCTGAACTTTTTTGCGCTGTACGTAGCCAAATGTGCTAATTAGACGTGCAGCGGAAGGGCAACAAACTTAACACCAATAGCAGTTTGAAGCTGGAAGAAAGTGCTCATCTCCTGTTATATGTGAACATATTTTTTCCATTATCTGCAAAATGTATTCATGGGTAAGTGGAGTCAAATTGTGGCGAACGTGGCGGAAAGCACTCCCAAATGGTATTTGGCCTACTCTTCCACACTGACCTAAATGTTTTGGAAGAGATTGAAGTACCCACTACTCATGAGCTGCCCATCATTTGAGAATTTACATCACTGGGTTGGCCCATTTATGCTGCTAGGGGGATACGGGGGTCAGGCAACTGGGGGTGGTGGAGATTTAAGAAACTCATCCATTGTTTACATGGACGAGTTTCTTAAATCGTCCTCACGGGAGGTCTGGGTCCCTCCACCACGTGACCCCCCAGGCCTCGTACGGGCCGACACAGTAGTGACGTCCCATGTCACTACAATTGCTTCGACAGGGGATGGAACTGGGACATCTGCATCGCAAGTCTGATGTGCTAACTATTACACCACGGAAGCACCAACAGCTCTCTATTGTCGATTCTTTAGTGGTTATCGCTCTGGGTGCCAGGGTGGAGGGATGTTAACTACCTCGCCTGGTATACAGGGTGGTCGTGGGTTCGATCCCGACCTTGACGCCTGCTGCTGTATATTTAGAGTTTGCATATTCTCCCTGTGGTCGTGCGGATTTTTCTCCGGGTCCTCCAGTTTTTCCCTCAACGTTTAGAAAAATGCTTTAAACTATTTGGCTGCTATACATTTCCACATAATAAGCCAGCTTCGTTGAGCTATTATTTGTGGCCAGGTCGCTTCTGAAAAAGAGCTATGTCGCTCAGTGGGCCTGACCTGGTAAAATATTTGTTTTATTTAATAGTTTATTTTTAGACTGAAGTTGGTGTAGTGTGTCGTGTTTGCCACTAGAGGACGCTGGTACTCCACCTGATGGCAGGAGAAACGTTGATAGCGATTTCTGGATAGAATTTAATTTCCAAACAATATCGATGTATCTTGATAAGGAAACGAGAAAGCTGATTTGCAAACAAAATATATACATCGGAGCAAGATGTTAGTATGTATGTACGTTGAACTTCTTTCGCGCCTTACATAGCCAACCATGCTTTTCTAAGTAGAACATTTATTTGAGCCTTATATCCAGTACTGGCCACACTTAAATTAAATTAAATAATAATAATAAATCACAGACTTAAGAAGGCCAGTTAACCCAAATATCAAGATATTACTTCCCTCACGGTGGCAGTAAAGATACATGTTTGTGTTAATTTTAATAAACTATTCTATATAATTGCTCTGAAGCATAAACTTGATACCAGTCATAAGAATAGGTTTTCCCCTTTTTTCTGGCAACAAAACAGGTGTTAAGATGTTAAAACAGCAAATTGAAACCTTTTTGCAAGGAATCATGTCTGCATTAACCACAGATACTTGTGGTTAAAATACCAAAAATATATATGGTCTGACAGTTTCTGCATTGTCTTTGAAACTGATTGGTCCACACCATAGACAGCTTTCTTTAGAGCCCAGTCTCAAACAGCGTTAGGCCAGAGGACGCCAAAAGGCGAACAGTACAAAGACAATTATATTTTGACACTGGCGAAGGAGGTCCCATGTTGATACCAGTCATTTGTGAATGATTTTAGACAAATTCACATTCTAGTTTTCTCATCACTTTACATCACAATTGTTTGTTATGTACAAGTTAATAACGTTTCCACGTCTCGGTGAGGTGCCAGTATATCACCATTGGCCAGTCGCACAAAGCACGTGGAGCGAACATATCCCTGCATTGCATTGATTGAAACGGGAAGCTTAAGGCATTTTGTATTCCAGTTTTTTTATGAAATCAGCCCCAGAGCATTATGTACATCACTGTACAGGCTACACTTTAAGGTCCAGATTCATTGACAAGATATTTTATTGAATTAACTAGCAATGCAGCTCACGTGTCTATATTTAAATATCACCCACAGCCAAGATCTGTACAACCCAACATGTTGCCATTGAACACTGGCATATGACAAATTGGCTCATTTTATTTCACATTCGTCAATAAAACTGTGGCCTTTAAAAAAAACAATTGCAACATTCCATGCAATGCCTCTCTTCAAGAGCATTTGTACACCAGCGCCCGAGGCAAGCGTCGGCCGCCACAAAATTATTTCCCGTAACAATGTTGTCACCCGCAGGAGAGCTCTACATCGGAGGGCTGTCCAAGATAGAGTACAGCAACCTTCCCAAGCTGGTGGGCTCCCGTGAGGGATTCCAGGGCTGCCTGGCATCTCTGGACCTCAACGGCCGCCTCCCAGACATGATTGATGAAGCCCTCTACCGCATGGGCTCCATCGAGCGTGGCTGTGAAGGTATCCCCCACCTGGCGTGCACATGCCGTATACATTGTTTTGTGTACTTTGAAATACTAGCCGAGTTACGCACCAGTGGTGGGGCGTTTTTGTTGCAGTTGTTGTTGGTGTAATTGCATGTAGTAGTAGGTTTTTACCCTTTAAACTGGTACAAAACTGACACCTTTATACAAGGCATCATGTTTGCAATAACCGCAACACAAGCAGTCAAAATGCAAACAAAAAGAAACAACTCTGATAATGGTAATGATATGCACTGTCCTTGAAGTTGATTGGTCCACACCCAGAGAGACAGCTTTCCTTAGAGCCTAGTCTCACATGGTGTTGGACCAGATGACGCCAAAAGGCGTCATCATGATGCCTTGTATAAAGGTGTCAGTTTTGTACCAGTTTAAAGGGTAAAAACCTACTACTATATTTTGCCACTGGTAAAGGAGGTCTCATAGTGTAATTGCATGTGTTTTATTTTCTTGCTCAAGAAAACAGAGCTGTACAGTGTGAACAATGATACAAACCAAAATAAGTACAGTGGATGTACACACGTGTGAGCAATGATGCAAATAAATTAAATTTCGATTTAAAGTTTTCGTGACTGCAGGGATTCATCTTCTTGGTTCTTTCGGTAAAGTCACGTAGAAGGGAAGTAATAAAAAATAAAAATAAAACAAAATAATTCTCGTGACGTTTTGGCCGAAACGTTGTGGCCGAAACGTCGTGAGAATTCTCTTATTAAGTTTTATTTTTATCATTTTATTACTTCCCTTCTACGTGACTTTACCGAAAGAACCAAGAAGGCAAATAAATTAATTTTAAAAAATTGGTCACAGTCACGGTAAAACCTTATTGTTACAATGCTTTAGAATGACTGTTACTGGTAAATAATGTATCAACTATTTGCATGGAATTATTCTGCAATACTATTGTTAACTGGTGCTTTCACATCATTGTATTCTTCCACTTTGCCTCGACGCTAATGGAATACTTAATTACAGATATTATTTTCGTCATTGCTAGCACATGCTGGAGAACATGTATTTTAAAACTAAAGTTGTCATACATAATTAATCTCGGCAGTCTTTATTTTAATTGGAAAACATTGTGTGTCTCTTGACTTATAAACTCACTTTATTTCTGATAAAAAATTTTTATAATTACACTGCAGTCTAGTTATGTTGCATATTTTATTCATATTTCACAATTCACTTTTTCTTTATTCAGACGCAGTGCTGTCTTTTGTCATGTTCCGTGTATGATAATGGTGCATATCATTGTGAATGCCATGGGTGGCCCATGTCTGTGATTCATCTGATTACTCTGATCATGTAAACATGTTCTTCTGCTTCTTTTCTTTTTCCCCTTCATTTGTTTTGCTGACAAAGCTGAGTTGAAAGCACACATGAAAGGTATAGCACTGAGATTTTAAAAATAAATGCTAATGCAAATGTAGTGGCAGTGGGTTAAAGTAGTTCTGTAAGTTCATGCTTTGATATTAAATGCCAGAAGTTATATTTTAGGATGATGTACTTAACCTCTTTGTAACACTGTATAAATGTTTTATGCTTTTTTCCTCAATACTTTCTTACATTATCATCATTCCCTGTTAATTTAGATCGCCCACATATCCACTTATGGACCATGTTTGCTGAGCAAACATTTGCATCCACAAATTAAGTTGGATTTCTGTTGCGTGTAAAATTATACCCAGTAACTCACAAATGAGGTTTTCATTTTTGCTGTTGGGTGATGAAACGAATTTTTGTAGGAAGAGAAAAAAAAAACTGGACTATCATTGACTTTGATTGGCCAGAGCCAATTAGTGTTGCTTTGCAGCTGGTTAATGCACAATGCATTCTGCTCCTAGAAGCCTTTCCTGCTGTCTCCCTGGCTCAGGTCCTAGCACCACCTGCCAAGAGGACTCGTGTGCTAATCAGGGCCAGTGTGTGCAGCAGTGGGATAGCTTCACCTGCGATTGTACCATGACATCCTACAGTGGTGCCTTCTGCAATGACCGTGAGTATGAGCATGCTCCTCGATACTACCTGGCCAAATCACGCAGGCCCGTCGCTGTGCGCTCAACTCCTGCCGCCAGTTTGGCATGCACCCCGGCCTCCTATGCAATCCTCCCGCTCACAATAACCCAATCTGTTCCGAGACCTGGAGGGGTCATGTGGCCGCTTGGAAATTTGGCAGTGTCGCGAAGATCATAGCCCATTGTCATAAAATGTACACCTGGCACGGCAGCTTATATGTGAAGAAAAAAATCCTTTTATAAAATTTAATGTCCTAAAATATTAGAAGAATGCATGCAGTGAAACAGCCATCTGCTTAGGGATTGTGCTCATGTCTAAAACAAAAATCACCTAAAAAGTCATCCAGGTCTTTAAACCTTGAAAGCTAAAAGGCAGGCCTCAAATACATTTTAACCAGCAACCTCTGTATATGCACATATACTGTATGCATGTTTATTGCACGACTGTGTTGACTTTGCCACCTACTGTAGGTAAGTGTACAGGTAAGTGCATTACTTGATATACTCACAAGATGTACATGATTATTTTGAGAGGGATTAAGAAGAATAGTTTAGTTCTTTATAACAAGTTTCCAGAAAACATTATCTTTCAACATTACAGTACATGTTGCACTAGAGTATATGTAAGTAAATACCATCAAGCAATATAGTCATCTACATTTTTTATAACCAAAATGGACTGCATATATATATGAAATGCACATCACATATAGCATGTATATTGTTAATATTTGGCATATCATTATTATTCGATATATGAGGGGGGGGGGGAAACCCATCTGTGATTTGAACATCAAGGATTATGTGTAATCAACTAGTCATTACAAATCAGATATTATTCTGACATGATGTAATACATGTTATGGATTCATACATTTTAGTGCGAAGGTATCCAAAACAACACGATATCGTGAAATCAGGAACAAAGCTTCTTACTTATAGTTCTTCTCCACGGAATAATTTGTTTGTGGGATAAGCAGTATGGGTGTTTCATATATTCATCTTGTTAATTTGAACTCTGCACATATGTGCCGATCATAATATCTCTCAAGCAATCTAGATTTGAAGCTTTCGTGACTGCAGGAATCCATACTCTTTGGTTCTTTCGGTAAAGTCACGTAGGCATAAAATAAAATAAATAACGACGTTTCGGGCGCAACACAAGCGTCCGTCATCAGGTGGGAGAGCACCCGAAACGTCGTGATTTATTTTATTGTATGCCTACGTGACATTGCGTTCAAATCTGACAGGTTTCCTTGGTTAATAAGTTGGGTGTATTAACCGTAAAATACGTGCCATGTGCTTCACAGTGGACGTGATGTAATTTAAAGACGAGCAGGCCACTGTGTGCCAAGTGCCATGATCAACATTTTCCAAATTTCAACAATTACTATCAACTCCTTTGCAGGACCCTCCTGAAAAAAGTATTTAGTAAGTGAGGCGTTCCTGGGTACATTGTAGTCATAATAATCATTAATCATCAGTCTAAAATTCCATACAAAAAAATGTCCTCGATTTATTTAAAATGTCTCTCGCTGCTTTTCTCAACTTGTCACGTGATTTCACATTCTGACCCACCATACGAGATTCGTAACTCATATTGTTCATATTGGTTTAGAAAGCATTTATTTGCATCCACATGATCTCACATTACGCATGGTAATTTTTGTGAATAAAAAAAATTACGAGAAAGTACGCGCCAAATATGATATGTTGCCACAGAGGCTGAAATATTAGTTATTAATTCGATGTCACAAACGTTTTCTGAGGCTCCACCGTAGCGAGATGTTATCTCCCCTTGCCTGGTATGGAGGAGGTTGTGGCTTTGATCCCAGCCATGCCTATGCCTGTATGTTTGGAGTTCGTGTGATCTCTCCTCCTGATCACTCGGATTTTTTTCTGGGTTGAGAAACATGCGTTGAGATTACATGACGAGCTATCAAGTGTGGCCAGGTCACCCCTGAAAAGGTGCTAAATAATACAGTGGGCTTTAACTGGTGAAGTGAATTAACAGTCGTAGTGGGCTGACCCGTAATAAATAAAGCCTGACAACTATCCAATGGCGGAGCCAGGATTTTCAGGTAGGGGGGGGGGCAACCCCTCCAGAAATGAAAAATCATAGTAGTTGTTAGTAAGGACTTGTCCCTTGCTTTTTTATTTTTAACTTGGAATAAAAAAAACATCTGAATAGCTTTTTATGGCAGTATATGATGGGAATAAATGATTAAATTTCAGATGGTCAGCTATTATAAATGGCATGAGACATTGTGCATTTATGTGGCATTGTGCGCAATGCACTTGTTGACAGCTATTTTCCTAGGAGTTCCTAGTGGTCCGTATTTATTGGCCATACCACCATATTTCTTGGAGTGTGTGTATGTCACCATTAAATCAACACACACTAGGCCTTGTTACATTAAAAATGTATATTCTTCTTAGACCTAAAATCTGCATTCATATGGTAGACAATGTCTTGATACAACATTTGTACGCGATTCGATTATCGAGAAGTTTAAACCCCATTTGTGCATTCAACTCCATTACTGAGCCCTCTCCCTATGGCTCACTAGATCCACCTCTTTCCCTCGTGTTATTTATCCAAATACACATCTCACAAATGGTGAACAAGGGAAATCTGTAGACTGGTGGGACACAATGGAATTTAAAAAATCCCTTCCTGTATAATAAATTGCGGGGTGTCATGGACAAACCTGATAATCCACATATTGATATGTATACTATAAGCTATACATGCTTTTTTGGAACACTACAATACGCATTTTATTGTATAGTTTCCCCACAGATGGCTACACAATGAACTCAATTATAAAAAATGCCATTCACTTAATCTGCCATCTCTCAACAAAAGCCTACTTTCTAGACAAATCATTTTGAGGCAGCGTTTCCTTCACCTTACTCGTGTGAAAGACATGTGATATGCAGTATCTGTAACAACATCCAGTTCCATTATGACCACAACTCAGGTGCTGCTTGAAAATGAGGCTCATCCTATCTCTAGAGTTCTCCGCTGGTGAAACAATATCATCTTGAACCTTGATTAAAACTGTGTGCCATGACTTCTTGCAGGCTAAACTTAAATTTATAATTTGACACAATACGAATAAAACTAATCGCGTAATTGTTGTTAACATGCAAACACGTGTATAAGTGCATAAGCAGCTTCATAACGCTGCTATGAATGAATACAACATTCAAATACAATCCTGCATATGTATCACATTTGTAAAAATCCATCTATATATACAGGAATTCCCTTGTTAATGTTCTCATCAATAGTAACTATAGAGGAATGTGTCTAATGAACAATACAACATTTACGGACGGCGGTTATTTCAGCGGCGTGTGACCTTTGCGTGTGTTGGAGCTCTCCTTGCAGAGGGCATGTTGACAAGAGGTTGCCTGACATTGCACCCAAGGGGGCGGTAGTGACTGTTGTATTATGGAAATGAAACATAAAAATAAGAATCGCGAGCTTTATGATGCAGACTCGATGCAAAATAGATCGTTAAATACGCACATACGCTTTTAAACTTTTCACACATCACTAAATAGAATATATATTGAGAACGTTCTATAAATAAGTGCTGTATTTTTTATATATATACACGTGCTTTATTGCAATTTGTCTCATTTCAATTATATTTTAGTAAATACATTCTTTGTTAATAAATTAGCCAGAGAGCAAATGGATTTTCAAAGTTAATTTTAATGAGTGGTAAACATGTCCATACTCTTATTCTTGGATCTTTCGGTAAAGTCACATAGAAGGGAAAAAATAATAAAATAATAACAATATAAAAACAGTCGAAACGTCGTGAGAATTTTATTGTTTTATATTTTTATTCTTTAATTTTTTCCCTTCCTTGTGACGTTACCGAAAGAACCAAGTATATGAATCCCTACAGTCACGAAAGCTTTAAATCAAAATTTATGTCCATACTCTGGTTCGTGTGGTGCCGTGATTAGCACACTGAGTCGAGACAGCCACCTTTGATCACATTCCTTTCCGCTTGTCTGTTGTTCCTCGCACTTCTGAGTTACTCTTGCTTCGAGAACGAGCAAATATTGTTCCAAGTTAAAATTATTATTGAGATTTTTTGTTTACATGAAATGTATTCTTTAGACATTTTTTAATTCATGGAAAGTGCTGCAGATGCTGCTTTACTGGTATGAACGTTTCTACTTTTAATGTCCCCCCCCCCCCCAGTTGTGTCGGTCGTGAATTGTTAACTCAAATTGTTTATCACAATAACCCACACCACAAAGCGTTAAAGATGTGTAACAATGGACCCTGCATTATCTCTCTCGTGTGAGCTTGGCCGTAAAGCAAGGATCTTATCAGTCAAATGGTTAGAGGTGTATCCCAGTGGAACCATATAACAGTGGGGTTCTCCCATAATTAATGATTTTTTTCAAGGTGAAAAGATAAGTCACTGCTTCTATGAAACTGTATTTTATTTGTGCTGAGCACTGCTCACCGGAGTATTTAAAATGCCTTAGCTTGTGTTTTCTTACTTTTTTAGAATGGCAAGGCAAGTTTTTTAGATTTAAAGTCCACTCGAGACATCAGCAAAAACTACACATCGATATTAATGTCTATTAACATTGTTTCCCTTGGCGAGTCATCTTCATTCAATAGTACTTCACCTGCTAAATGAATATTGATGGGTTATGTTCAACAGTAAAATCTTTTCAACCTACAAACATGATAGCTCACCAGTGCACGCTGTCAGCAGCAGATAATTGAATTGTGGAACACAATATAAATGATTGAAGTAATGAAGATACAATATATTTAAACACTTAGAAAACAAGCAAATCCTGACCTCCGAAACATTGATATACCTGATAATTGGTTCTTTACCCTTCTATCTGGCAACAAAACTGACACCTTTTTGCAAGGAGTCATGTTTGCATAGACCGCAATACCTGCAGTCATAAATACAAACAAAAGACATAA